TTTTCAAACTTGTGGAACCTATTAGCATCTCTAACAAGAAACAGTTTCTCCAAAATCTTGGACAAACCTTTAATGAACTCATGACAATCCCCACAAATTCTCAAGTTCTTGAAAATCCTAATGGGCTGACCTTCCTTCTTCATCCCACCACAAACTAAAGCCAAACCAACAGCTAATTTCTCGCTATGAACTCTCAAGTTTTCCTCCTTCGATTCCTCTTCTACATCATGCAGTGCGTATCTCACTTCATACGCATAACCCATTACTTCTTTCATTTTCTTCTCCATTTCTTTCAAAATTTCGTGGATTTTTCGAGTAAGTGGATGTGTTTCGTCGCCATTGTAGAAAAAGTGCATCTCCTTATCAATCTCGACCCAACTACGCCCAGCTTCCTTCTTCAAACCCTTAGCTTTCACTAACCCTCTCAATCTCTCACACTCTGTCCAGTAGAGGGCGTCGGCAAAAACATTCGACAACAAAACATAGTTTACGGGATTTTCACCATCTAATCTCAAGAGAATCTCTCCTACTTCTCTCCCTAACTCGACATCTTTATGTACTCTACAAGCACTAAGTAATGTTTGCCATATTCCTATATTAGGTCTTATTGGCATTCTCTGTATGAGTTTCTTGGCTTCTTTTAACCGTCCGGCTCGACCAAGGATATCAACCATGCAAGCATAATGCTCGACTCTAGTTTTTATCTGATAACTATTACACAATTGCGTGAAGTATCTCTGGCTTTCTTCAACAAGTCCCGAATGGCTACAGGCCGAGAGCAAAGCCAAGTAGGTTACATGGTCTGGCTCAATATTATCCTGCTGCATTTTCTCGAAGAGATCCATTGCATCATTACCAAGACCATACTTCCCATATCCCGTGATCATAACCGTGTAGGAGATCTTATTCTTCTCTGGCATATTGACAAAAAGCTGTTCAGCCTCCTCCGTCAAACCAGACTTGAGATACATGTCGACAATTGAATTTGCTACTGATGTGTCTAAACCCGAGGGGGTTTTGATGGCATAGGAATGCATCTGCTTTCCTGACTCCGTAAGAGCAAAATCCGCAAAGACGCTGATCATGCTGGAAAGAACAAATCCATCAATGGGAATGCGACTCTCCTGAAGCTGTCTGAACAAGTCCATTGCCTCAGATAAGTTTCCTTCTTGAGCGTATCCTATTATTATTGTTGTCCAAGATACCACACTTTTCGTTTCCATTTGATCAAACACCTTTCTTGCTTGAAACAAGTATCCACATTGGACGTACAGATCAATAAGAGCACCAGAAATAAAGTTTTGAACTGGAATTGAGCATCCTCTTATAATCAGAAAGGCATGAATTTGTGTTCCCTCTTGAAAAGCTCCAAGTCCACGACAAGCCTTTAATGTGCTCGTAAAGGTATACTTATCCGGTATCTCTCCTTGCATTTGCATCTCCTTGAATAAATGCAAAGATCTATCACACATATCTTCGAAAAGGGAATACCCTGATATCATCACGTTCCAAGTTATCAGACTCCTAGCCGGCATATCATGAAACATCCGTTCAGCCTCATTGATTTTTCCACATTTCGAGTACATATCAATGATTGAATTTCCCACCACAGGATACCCTTCAAATCCACGTTTAGTACAAAAGCCATGAATCTGCATCCCGTTTTCCAGAACATCCAAAAATGCACACGCCTTGATATTTGTAGAAAATGTATATTCATTAGGCCTTACACCGGAAAATCCCATATGACGAAAAAGTGATAAAGACGCCTTGGCATTGCCCTCTTGTAAATATCCACACATCAAAGCTGTCCAAGAAACAACATTTCTTTCAGGCATTCTATCAAACACTGCATAGGCAATGCTCATTCTACCACATTTTCCATACATATCTATGAGATCATTATTTATCATCAAATCAGAACCGTAATCCTTCCTTACCACAGCTCCATGAACCTCCTTTCCTTGATCGAGAAATAAATTCCTAGAGCATTTTCTTATAAGCTCTGCTAATTTTTGTCTCTCGCTCATCAGTAAAACTACCGTTCGGAGCATAATCACCGAAAAGACTACACATCAGCTTTAAACATTGCCTCTATACTTCAAAATTTCACCCCCATCTTCAAATTTCATCATGCTGGATCAATAAAATTATTCTTATTTTATCGTAAATTACAGGGAACATGGTTTGATCTTGATGCTATTTGGTTCCCAAAAAAAGCAAACTTTGACACAGTTGAGAGGAGTCAGTTGCCCAAATGTTGAACCGAAGAACCCCTCCTCACACATTGAGTCGCAAAACGCATATCTCCACAGAGTTGTAAGAACGTGTATGGCGGTATAACGTACCCAGTGCCGGAAGGCGGAAGGTCTAAAGCAAGTCGGTGACTCGATGACAAGGGAGCGGACCAAAGCCCGGCAGCTTATAGCACATGCCGCTTCCGTACCATTTCAATATAGAAGGCCTCTAACCCAAAATTAGTATAGTAAGGTTATTTATGTACCATTAGTGTTCAAAACTATTTATTTTTCTATTGATATATTCATTTAACACAATATCACGTAATTTATTTAATTGAATATATGAAGTATAATCATCTAAATTAATGTTCTAGCACCATCAATATTAGATAGCATCATTCAAATTCTTATTTTCACTCTAAACTATATTTTAAAGAATTTTGTGAATTTTAATAAATTTATGTATTTCTAAGTTTGAAATTCATATAAATATCATTTTATTTTAGTTCCCATTAAAAACACGATCTTAAGTAGAAGATTACTAGGTTTTAATAAATTTAATAGAATTCATTAGATTTTGTAAAGTTGGGCAAAACTTCTAAACTGAATCGGACAAAATCGAACTCGAATCGAACTGAATCGAACCGAGCGGTTCTTTTTAAGTTAAATACCCGAACGAGTATCTGAATTAAAAATCGATGGGTTCAATTCGATTCTCGATTTTAGATCAAGAACCGAAAAACTGAAAAATAACCGAATCTCCCTACATTTTTTAAATTTATTTATTTTAAATAAACCAAATTATTTTATTTTTTCTAAATAAATTTGCTAATTAGTTAATTTAGCTCAAATTCAAAAATATGATTTTCCCATTTTTAATTTTCAGTCCAAGCCAAACTTAATCGAATTGATCTAAATTTTATCCAAATTTTTTATTTTACCATAATGTCGTTTATCATTCTGAAGAAATCAAATAAAGCTCGACGGCACCTCTCTTAATAATTATAAGCTTGTTATTGTCCTCTTCATGTTATTTTAACAATCAAATTTATAAAAAATTTAGCAAAGACAGACATAAAAACACATAAGATTGAACTACATTATTTTATAAGAGCTAATATTAAATATGACATTAGTTGAATTAATGTAACTTTGTAAATATTAAATAATTAATTATAATACCGAACCGAACTGAATGGAATGGAATCGAACTTCAACGGTTCCATAATCAAATTTGAACCCAACGATTCCATTTATTAAATATCCAAAAATTTCGAGTAAAGTTCGATAGAATCGGACCGAACCGGACCATGCACCTAACAATATGAGATTTTGACTCCCTTATTCTCTGCACTCTCCTTGCGCGCCAAAACAATAGTAGGCCTTCGGAATGGAATCTACCCTCAACTCATGGAATTCATTTATTTTCAAATCGGCCCATTAACAATTTAGTCCTTGTTTGATAGGGATTTGGTTCATTGATTATTTTATCGTTAAAGATACAATGAGTCTTACATGTGAGAGAATAATTCAAAAACGACGACTGGAATAATGAAATAACGATCAAAAAATTAATTTTAATTGTTTTAAATTTCTACCAAACAAGCTCTTCGTAACTGATTGGCTAATCCTTTATGTTGGAACTCAANAAAAAATTAATTTTAATTGTTTTAAATTTCTACCAAACAAGCTCTTCGTAACTGATTGGCTAATCCTTTATGTTGGAACTCAAATGTTACGAAGAGCGAATTTTTTCTCAGAAAATATTGGATCTTGGAAAAAGAACCTTTGCAGTATTTGCATCTCAATGGCAGCAAAAGTTGGAGTCTTGACAATCAGAGGATTGGAAGATATGTTCATACCCATGTTAAGAAAATGCAATAAAATGGAACGATTGAAAAGAATTCAAGCCCAAATGGTGAAGTTTTCACTGTCACAAAGCAATTTCTTGGCGACTAGGATGGTAGATATTTGTGATCAAAATGGAGAAATAGAGCATGCAAGTCTGTTGTTCAAACAAGTTGTTGAACCAAACATTTTCTTGTACAATGCTATGATTAGAGCCTATACACACAATCATATGTATATAGTGACCATCAATGTATATAAGCAAATTCTAAGTCATAAAGGATTTGAAGAGCCCATATTGCCTGATAGATATACATACCCTTTTGTTATTAGGTCTTGTGGAGGACTTCTGAATGTTTCTTTAGGAAGGCAAGTCCATGGGCATGTGTTCAAATTTGGGTTGAAGTGTACATATGTTATAGAAAATTCATTATTGGATATGTATGTCAAGTGTGTTGAAATGACTAATGCTCATAATGTGTTTGAGGAAATGACTGAAAGGGATGTGATTTCTTGGAATAGTCTTATTACTGGGCACATAAAGTTGGGTCAAATGAGAAGAGCCAGAGCATTGTTTGACGAGATGCCTAATAAGACTATTGTTTCATGGACAACAATGATTTCTGGGTACACGAAAATTGGGTGCTATGGCGATGCATTGGATGTTTTTCGGGGAATGCAGATGGTGGGGATGCAGCCTGACTGGATCAGTTTAGTTGCTGTTTTGCCGGCTTGTGCTCAACTGGGAGCTCTAGAGCTCGGAAAATGGATTCATTTTTATGCTGATAAAAATGGGTTTTTGAAGAAGACTTGTGTATGCAATGCATTGATTGAAATGTATGCAAAATGTGGAAGTGTGAACCAAGCTTGGCAGTTGTTTAGTCAGATGCCAGAGAGGGATGTTATCTCTTGGAGTACTATGATTGCTGGGTTAGCAAATCATGGGAAGGCTCTCGACGCCATTGAATTGTTTCTGGCAATGCAGAGGAAAAAAGTTGAACCAAATGAGATCACTTTTGTTGGCCTTTTATCAGCTTGTGGACATGCTGGTTTACTCGACGAGGGACTGAAATACTTCGACTCAATGAGAGATGATTATAATATCGAGCCAGGAGTTGAGCATTATAGCTGTTTGGTCGATCTTCTGGGGCGTACAGGACATCTCGATCGAGCTCTTCAACTTGTAAAGAGCATGCCAATGAAGCCAGACGCAGCAATATGGGGTTCTTTATTGAGTTCCTGCAGAACACACCGTCGTCTCGAGATCGCAGTTATTGTGATGGAAAATCTCTTAGAGCTTGAACCAGAAGACACGGGGAACTTTGTTTTGCTTGCAAATATTTATGCAGATCTTGGAAAATGGGATGGTGTTTCAAGAATGAGGAAATTCATTAGAAGAAAAAGCATGAAGAAAACCCCTGGCTGCAGTTTGATTGAGGTTAACAATTCGGTTCAGGAATTTGTATCAGGTGATGATTCGAAGACGTTCTCCAAAGATGTATATCAAATATTGGAGTCACTGGCTTTGGATCAGACCACAGGAAGTGATCTGATTGAAACCATGTTTGAGGATCAAGGTTGGTTTGCATTTCAATAGAGTACGTTTTCATCGTTTGCTTAGTTACAATCAAGTTAAGCAGAACTCATCCTTAAAACCTTAAAATCGGACGATAAGGGGAGGGTGCTCTAGTGGTTCTATAAGCCCACAAGTTAAGCGCTAACTTAGCACTACAAAACAAATAGTCTTTACATTTTACTTCTCCTTCGAAAACTGGCGTCACAACAGCTCATATATCATCTAGATGGCTTCACAGAATTAGTCCAATACTGAAAGTAACCCTTTCCAAGTCTTCACTTCTGTGGCGAGGATCATCTCCAGAAGGGTGAAGATAATGGGTTCTTTTGTCTAGGGTTCTTGTCTCTGATCAACCATACTGAATAGCTCGGCCTTTGAATAAAGTCGTGGTTATTTAGAGCAAAGCAAGAGTTCAGACATTTTTTTGATGTTAGATGGAGAAGATAACACAGCTCAAATTTTCTTCAACGGACATGCCCCAACTCAGTATAGCACTCGAGGCAAATGGAGAACTTTCTGGTTCACTCGGAATTATGATTCTTCAAAGAGGAATTTCCTGCTGAAACTTGGAACATATGACATGGGATGGTATTCCAGTCGAAGAATAAAGTGCAAGTGCCTGTTTCTAGCGAAATAGTTTTTATTATAATAAGCGGTAATGACTAGACCTCAATCTTTTAAAGAATTTAACATTGGTGCCCTATTTGGTTTTAATTCTTGCTTCATTAAAATGAAAAATATAATTGTTATC